AAAGCTCAAAGCCCTCATCCACCATCCAAGGCCCGAGGCCCGAATCTTCAAGGATAACGCTTCCAGGCATTGTTGTCCTCCCGGTTGTTCCTAAACGCACAGCAGCCAACCGAGTAAACAATGATTAAGAAGACAAGGAAAACGATGTTTATAACGGCAACTCTCTTCCAGTCAGTCTTGATGTTATCGAGAAGGCCAGCCTTGCATGAGTCGCAGCCATAGCAGAGCTCTCTCGGCTCATTGCTCCACCGAGTACAGTCTGGGTTGGTAGATGCTGGAGTTTGTGGCCTTGTCCAGTTTGTTGGGCTCACGTACGTGAAGTTGCAGTCGTTCGAGGGCTTACAGCATCCAGACTGTTAATTTCAATGTGAAAAAACTAAGGTTAAGTGCCAAGCTATAGGGGAAAATAAATTGCTTACTAGAATCATATTTTAGAAAGGAAAAATGAACTTCAATTTGAAGTTGGACTACTAGCAAGCAATGGTTTAAGCAAATTGTCTGTACCTGTTTTTGTACAGAGCAACACAAGATTCTAATTGAATAACACATATGCACTTTCTCATTTTTCATTTTATTTTTTCTGCTGTGTGCTAAATTTACAAGGAAAAAAAAAGGACCATATTCAAAAATTCAGCTTTCAAAATATCATGTAAGGTAGTGGATAAGAAGAAAGAATTTTACAGAATAGTCAGATGCAGAAAAGCCACTTTCCCAAGCTAATAATTGGAGAAACCAATTTAAAAGGCACTCAACTTTTTATCAACCTAACACAACATAAAGCAAAAAGAACGATTTGGAGCAAAAGTTTCTATTTTCCAAAATACAGATTTCATTGTCTACACTGCACATATTGTTGATAACATATCTGTTTTATCTCAAACTTTATAGTCAAAGCAAGAATCATCATCTCAAACCTCCTAATATTTGATTCTCTACAGTATCCATTTTTTTTTCATTTTTCTTGATGTAGTGTAGATGAAGAATTCATATGAAATTAAGTGAACTTTCTAAAGCCCAAACAGGCCAGTCCAGATCTAGAACCAATATTCAAGAACCCAAGAACAATTTAACATAAATCCTCAAAATATCAACAAATGCTCAAGAACCCAAGTACAATTTAAGACAAATCCTCAAGATATCAACAAATACTCAAGAACCCACGAACAATTTAACACAAATCCATCGACCCAGAAGAATATTTCAAAGAAAAAATAAAAAAATAACTGTACCTGAAGCGCAGATAGATGCTCTCGGTAAAAATCGTCCACCGGGGTCGAACCAGCCTGAAGCAGCCTCTGGCAAATGTTGCTGTCAACCAAACAGCTCCTAACCCGGCCCCAGTGGTCGTTGACCCTGTTCTGCAGCCAATTCGAGTAGTCCCCGAGCCTGTACTCCCTGTACCCCCTGCCGGAGAGCACCTCGCCGGCGCCCCTGTTGGTCACCACGAAGGCGAAGATCGTGAAGCAGAAGAGGAGGACAATCAACAGAAACATCACCAGCAGGTAAACCCACAGGAGCCACGAAACCCTGCAGCAGGAGCCGATGAGCCCGGCTATGGACACGAGGAGGACGAAGACTCCGAGTGCAATGACCGGCCGGTCGAGGAACCGCTCGCACTCGGTGTTGGCCTGCCTGGAAAGCCATATCCCGCCGCCGATGATCGGGATCGAGAGGAGAAGCGTGATGATGTTCAGGAGCCCGACTAGATTGTTACTGCAACGCACCATGATTTTGATTTTCTTTTTCCTTTTCGATTTCGAATTATCTGTAACGGATTAAAAGGATTTGTGATTGATTGAGAGTAGAGATGGGTGGAGATGTTTCTTGATATTTATAGTGGAGAATTTGAGAAGGGTTCTTCGGAGAAAGCACGGAGAGGGGTTAATTATGGGGAAGACGCGTGGGGACGAGTGAGACGCGTGGGCGCGAGCCGCCGTGGCGTGTACGAGCGTTTCAGTTTGTGGTTAACAAATTGTATTGAATGTTTGTTTGCAAACAAATCAAGGTAGTATTTGAATTCTAAATTTAAACACACTTTCCATGATGATAGTCATATAATGGTTAGTCATATATTTTCAAAATAAATATAGGGTAAATAATAGTTTATAATTTGTACTATACGCGAATTTTAGCTTTTGCAATTTAAAATTTTTTTTGTATTGAATTACAACCTTTAATAAATAATTTGTCTATACCGCAAACTCCGACCATCGACTGTCCATTTTTCACCGAAAAACGAGCGTGCGAGTCGCACGCTCGAAACTTGAGGGTAAAATTGTCATTTCATCTTATGTTTGAAGGAGAATTGGTCATTTCATCGTCTCAGCAAATTGATAAAAAAAAACGCGCGCGATTACCTGTTCACCATTTCTTCGTCTTCTTCTTCTTCACTACGGAAATGGCTTGGAGAAAAACGGAGCCGATGGTTCAACTATGCAACTGTGGGATCAATGTTGTTCCGAAAACATCATGGAGTGTTCTAAATTCAGGAAGGAGATACATTCCTTGCGCAAAAAATCAAGTAAACGATTAATTAGGTTAATCCTAATTTCAGAATTCAGTAAATCCTAATTCAAAAAATTGGGCAAATTCAATAAACCGTAGAGCTACTAAAATTAATTTGTTTCTTTTTTGTAGGATAATGGTGGTTTTTTATATTTTTCGTGGATTGAACCACCATTGTGCCCTAGAGCTACTAAAATTATTTTTCATGGTTTTTTTGTAGTATTTTTTAAACTTTTAGATTTATTGATCTCTTTTTGCATTAGGTAGTGTTCAAACTATGTTGTAGTGTAATGATGTTAATGTTAATGGACAATGTGTTGTTCAAACTCTTTTGGTTGATCAAAAACCATTTTGGTTGTTCAAACTCTTGCATTAGTTGTGCGCTCATGACTTTGTTTTAAATGTTAAAAACATGTAAAGTATAATGTGTGAATAGTTACAAATATGTAAAGTATGATGTGTGAATAGTTGTTTATATCTACTCATGAACAATACTCTCATTCAAATATGTGTGCAAGTAGCATTACATTGACCACATAAATCTCCTCAATAAGGGCTGGTACTTCACTTTCTCTCCCAGTTGTCTTCTTCTTTTTTTCCTTCATAAAAAACAATGTATACAATGTAACAATGCAATTTCTGAATCAGAAAGACACTATTTGTAATAAAACACAGACATTTAAACCAAATAGTAACAATTATTTAACAAGTATCATTTACCTTTACGATAGAATTATCTTCATTAGAGGCTAGTATAGAAAGTCCTTCAGTTGGTGCACTCTCGTCAGTTCTTAAAGGGCAACGTTTGATGTTGTGGTTCTCTTTGTTGCATAGAGAACATTTCATAATTCTTCTTTTTCTACTCAGGCTCAATTGAACTTATTTTTTAGATTTTCCTGTCAGAACCTCTTCATGGGGTTGTTTTTTTTCTAGCATTTAGTTTTGGCCTTCCAGGTAGTCTCCCAACAGATGGCTGTTTCAAGGGCATTGCTTCTACATTTGGCCAATACTCAGGAGGTTGAAGAGTGCCCAACATCGCAGAATAAGCCTTAAAAAATATTTCTTTGTGATACCAGTCAGCAACATAATTCTCTTGTTGAGTGTCCAACACATACCATTTATTGCATGCTCACAAGGGATACGTGTGCGGTCCCACTTCCTACATGTGTATGATTGCTCTCACATATGAACTCTAAATCTTTCTAAGATTTTTCTACTTCAAACTGGTCTTCTCCATTCCAATAACAAATAAAACTCATTGACTTCTTCTTCAATTCCAAAATCTTCACAATTTTCGGGCACAAGTTCTCATGCAAATATTTTCTCATCTGATCTCTTCTCATGTAGGTCCTCTTCATCAAGATAAGTTTATTATTTTCAACATAGAAAGTAGATTTACTCATTACTCTCAGAATGAGTGAGTTAAAGGACTCAGACATGTCAGTTGCATATCACACTTTGTGTTGCAACTATAGTGTGACATTGATCACTGATTTGCTGGTTTCTTAGCCAACCATTCAAATGCTTCTTTGTCCCTTATTTTCAGTTCTTTATTGCAGCTATAAATTTAAAAACCCTTGTGGACTAGGCTACTCTATACATCAAGTTTTTCAGGGCTAATCCCCTAATGAAGCCCTAAAGTTTCCATACAAGTGTTGGACATAGAATCTATGTTCAGAATCTGACAGTAAATTTTCAATGACATCTACCAGGCCTTTCTGCGTGTCTGACATTATTGTCCATGGAAATAATTTTCAATCCCCAAACTTCCTTTCAACAGTTCAACAAACCAATGCCAAGTTTTTTTAGTTTCCTTTTCAACAACATAATAACAAAACATGATACATGCAGTTGTTACCATCAACCTCAACTGTTGTCAGTAGAAGACCACAATAAGTGGTTTTCAAATGGCAACCATCTAAGCATATCACATTCCTACAAAATTTAAGCAATCCTCTTTTTAAAAAGCACCAACAAATATAAATTCTTTTAAACGATGACTCCTCATCTACTAGTTTGTTTTTCATTTTCACAGTGGTCCTAGGTTGGTATTTTTAATCTCTTTAGCATAAGATAGAAGCATAGCATATTTCTCACAATTAGTCCTCACACTAATCCGAGACACATATTTTTTGGCTTTGTACATATATCATCCTTTGAAAACTATCCCTACTTTCCTTTGCATCTTTGCCATCATTGCCTCAACTAGCCATTCAGAATTATCTAATATCTTGTTTTTGTAAGTTACAATATCCATTTTAGAGTAGCATGACTTATTTTTTGTTTCTATGACCCTTATGCCTACCATTGTATGTCTTAATCTGCACAATATCTTCATCTTAAACTTTGAATGCATAAATGAGCCAATGACCTACTTATTTTTGTATTTTGCAAAGTTGCTAACTGTCTTTCTAAACATGGTCAAGTCAAGAAATCTCGTGCCTAATTCAAATGGACCTTTCTCTGCCTACCCTAGTCCGATCACACAAGTTTCCACGTGGCATTTAGTTTTTTCCCCAAAGGAATGGGCTTGGATGTGGTTAAGTCATCCCCGCGTGACGTCCGTTTTCATTTACAATCTTCTACACGTAATTTTTTTTTTCTAATGACCAAGTTCATATATGTTCAGAATGAAACTAGCTACCTACTTGATAGTAACATCAATATTTAAATTGTTAGTTTTAAAAANGGTTTAAATGTTCAATGTATTAAAATGTCAAATTTCAGTAGTAGTTATACTTTTTTTAATTTTAATAACATAAATAATGTCGCTAAGCTGCATAATCGTTAGCAATAACTCATTTAACATGTCAGGCAGAAGTGAGAGTTACTCCTAATAACTTATTTCAAATTTTGGGACCAGTGATCAAAATTTAATATTATCATATACTTAATTAGTCAATGATAAAATGTGATAACGTGAAATCAGAATTTCTAGGAAATTTCGAACAATCAAAGTTAGATTACCTTTGACCGTGTCATCATCTTCTGATCTGTTAGTGTCCAATTTTTAAGTGGCCAATCTTTTTAATTGTGTGTAAACACTAATTTATTTTTGTAGAATATATGAATTTTTCGAAAACGTGGTCACGAGGATCACTTCTCACTTTCCAAGTTTTAATTAGATGTATAAAATCCAGCGTTTCATCTTTGTCTTACACCACAAATTTTTGTATGAGATGGTATATTATTAAGGGGTTAAACTATCATTTTTTAATAAAAATTTATATTTATGGGGCAAAATGTTATACTTTGTTAATGTTATTTGCTACAGTATAATATTTCAAATTGAAAATATGTAAATTTATTTTAAAAAATGACTGTCTAACTATTAGACGCGTCTAATATCGGCCTTATTAGCCTTACGAGTGTGTGGTTGGGTTTTTCCTTATTTAAGTTGCAGATAAAACTATTTTTTTTTTTCTTTTTAATACATTACGAATGATAACTAATCAGTATCAATATATAAGTTCATTCAGTAAAATAAAAAACTGCGGGAAATATCTGAAGTATCTTATAGTTTATCATGTTCAGTCTTTCTTGTTTACTTTCTCTTCGTTGAAAGTTAAAACCAGAATAAAATAAAATGCAAGATATTTATTTTAATCTATTCCAGTTGCTGAGACAAAATTGTCTTATCCTCATCTCATGTGACAAACGTTTCGAAAAGAAATGAAACTATTCGTTTTTTTTCTTTTTTTTTTTTTTGNATCGTACGTTTTATTATTTACCTTATTTTATCTTAATATAATAACAAAAATAAATTTTACTAAATTCTTTATTTCCTATTTAGTGTGGTGTTTATCATATTATTTGTATATGTAATTATATTTTATAATAGTGAGTGGTGTGTGTTTCCTATTGTTTCATTTATCGCCAATTCTAACAAAAACCAATTATCGAAATTCCAATTAAATTATTTTCCCCAACACCACAGCCCAGCGAACAAAACAAAGACATTCAGTCAACAATTTATTGATCAGATTCGAACAACAATTCAGCATAAATCAATTCATCAACAACTAAAAACAGCAAAATAAAACAGTTAACTCCCAAATAAACACCAATTATACAATGTTTAATTGGCTCAGAACAATGTTCTCTATCAAATTTTAAATGCATCAGTTTGCTTTGAGCAACTCGTGCATTTGGACAAAAGAAACATAAGAAACATCAATCAAACATTTACTACAATTTTTTCAGTTTATTTGATTTCATACCAAACTCAAGCAAACGAGCTTCAAAGTTCAAACTGAAAATTTTAAACAGCAGACAAACTACAGAGGCCCAGGGAACGTTCCATTCTCCCTCTGCTCATTCCACTTATCAATCTGAAAAAAGAAAGAGAAAAAAAAAGAACAATAATGTGATTATTTAATGGAAGCCCACTAGTCAAACAAACAAAATACTTTCAATATACCGAAAATTCAAATCTACAGCTAATTCTGTGAGTTGGGTTAACACAGTATTTTGAATTTTCTACAAATGAGCAATAATTTAAACAAAACTAAGTGTTGTGTTAGTATATGCAAGTTTACACATTTTGCAGCTGCAAAAAACATTGGCATTTTAAAGGGCCTAAATTTACAAGGTATCTATGATAACCCAGTGGTTTTACTGCCAAAAGTTCTGAAAAGAAAGGAAAGCATATGCGAAACTTCTACCAATTTTGAATAGCCTATCGCTGGCCAGAATTATAACATCAGTTTTCACCAAATGCATAAAGAAAGAACAAATAACTAATGAGTATAATGCCAAAACGTGGGTGTTCGAACGTGTAAAGTGATAGAGGAGGTCAAGAGGAATAAAATTATTTCAAAATACTCGGTGCTTATTTTATCCAGATCTAGATTGGTGCTTAATGGTTGAGAATTTGACTGATTGATTTCGGTAAATGAAATATATACTTTTGTATAAATCATCCCCGGATCTTTTATTTCTAACAACGATCTCTGCACCATATTTCTAATTTTCTATATTTGCTTTTCATTCTTGAACTTTAACTACCCTTAAGACAACACGAGCAAAAAATCATAGAAACAAAATTTAAAGAAAAAGCATAGCAGGCCATCAACTCACCCATTCGCCAGGGCAAAGGGAACGGTAGTATTTGGCAAATTTACCACAATCATCAGATTCTTCACCCTTAGCAGCCACACACCTAAAAACGAATAAATTAATATTTATTAACAGGACGATTAAGTCAAATTGTTTCACTAATTGTCACTATAATTACTCATCAAAACCTGACAACATATTATTCAGCTTTACTCTCTTTCTTTTCTTCTTCTTTCATTTCATTTCTCCTTTTGGCATTTCCCGCAATTTCAGCAACAACAACATACCCAGTATATTCCCAACAGGTTGGGGTCTGGGGGTCAATTATACGCAGACCTTACCCTTGTAATTATACAAGGAGGCTGTTTCCGTAGCGACCCAAGGTGCATTGCACCGTTTGATATATATTTTTTATTTCTAGAAACTTCACTAATAGAAGAAGCACTAGAATTTAATTGAGCCATTTTGATCTAGTCCATTATTAGCACTATGCCAGGAGAATTGTCAACAATGACTCTTCCAGATGCCTCATGTCAAGATGCCTCATGCAAGAAGAACCGCTCAAGCAGGTCAAGACTTACAGATGCATGCCTTTTACTCGACACTGATTATTTAAAAAAAGAAAAAATCTACTTGTGGCAACATTTTACACCAATAGTTTCATTTAAATTGTGAATTTTGATTATGTGAATTTTGATAATCCTCTTTATTTTTTTAATCATCAAACGAATGTAATGCATCCACCTCAATTACAACATCTCTATTTTCACATAAAAGATCTGAATATGTTTATGCTCTATCTAATCTAGCATACACCATCTGCACCAGGCAATAATACTCCAATCACTCGTAAAACAAAAACGACTCAGCCAAGCAAAAATTAAGACTTGTATGACAATTCAAGGCATTTCTAACCAAGCATGCAAATCAAGGAACCAAAAATCAAGATGGGAAAAATCAATGTAAAGATATCGCATTAAAGAGAAAAAAATCAAAACCAAATACATATGCATACATTATCGGATCGATAGTCATCACATATCCAGTGTAAACATTCCCAGTTTCGTAACAAACCAGCTCAAATTTCAATTTAAGGTTAGTGACAACTAAAAAAGGGGGAAAACGGGGCCCAAATACAACTGAAAAAATGTCCACCAACCTGTGAAATTCAATGTAACGGGTGAAACAATGCCTGGTTTGATTTGTGGTTGGGAACCGAAAATCAGCAGGAGCAGTTTTTAGCTCAATCTGAAACGTCAACTCAAACAAAAATCAACTACGATAATGAACTAGATTCATCCATAAACGAAATATCCCAAAAATAAAAATAAAAAATAAAAAGCAAAAACCAGAGGACAACCCAATTAGCAAAATTGAAAATTAAACGTCGGAACATGAACGTAGGCCAAAAATCACACCGAATCATTACAATCTTTCGATTCAATAACCGTACGATTCAATAACCGTAAACAAAGGCCACAGACTAAACAGACGAGAAACACAAAGCAATTTAAAGAAGGGATTTGGGATTTCATCACGAATCAATAATCGAATATCCAACTGTCGCATGAAAACATAGCAAAAAATGGATTTACCTCATCCATGGAGATGGGATCTACGAGGCAACTCTTCGAATGAAAGAAATGTTTGGCGACTGAAAAATAGTGT